TCCAGATACAAACCAGGTTCTGAAGGTCAATCTTTGGATTTTAGCATTAACACTGGTTCGGTAAGGGTGCGGTTTAAGTAACATAAAATAAATTCTAAAAACAAAGTGAGCCAGTGTACTTTGAAGGAAAGCTAAGAACAAAAAGTAGTACATTTGAAGTTTATTTTCGCAAGTACACTTTAAGTTAAGTGTAAGTGTATCAAGTATACTACACACCATACTTGTAGTGTACTAGAAGTATACTGATTTATTACTTGTTTGGACTAAATTGGGACATTTTTATACTATTTTTAATTATATCAAATAAAGTTTATAAAAAGTAAACTTCAAGTACACTTCCTCATTTTTAGTGTAAAATAAGTATAGTTGCAGTGCACTTACATAAAGTACTTCTTGCTAAGGGATGGCTGGTGTGTTTCAGGATGACTTGTTAATCTCTGCAGGCAACTGTGATCCATCCTTACTCACAATCACCTGCAGAGATGATCCAGTTACTCTGACCTTCACTGACACGTGGCATGGGCCCATCATCATGAGAAGGACCTCAGTCCTTCAGAACTCGGTCCGAGCAACAGCCCCTGGTGGCTGCTTTTTGTTATTTCACCTACGGCCATTTCCAGATTATGGAGCGCAGCAGAATTTAAGCCACGCCCACTAAAAGACACTGCGCGTATATAAGCCGCACTTGTGTATAACCTGCAGGTGTCCACGTTGTTGTTTTTAATCTATTAAAAATGTATTTTTCTGAAAAGTGCCTGTAACACAGCTGGTTAATAACATTAAATTAAATACAGTAGCCTATAAAGAAAAGTCACTATGTTCATCTTCCTCCTGTTCCACTGAAGTCGTCTTCTTCAGTGTCAGAATTGAACATCTTCCGAAAAACTTCATCACACGTCCTCTCTTTTGCTGTCGATTCACACTTATTTCCAGCGGCTGCAAAAACTTTGTTGTGTACAACAAGGGGGGGAAACCCCCGCAAGGGGGGAGATGGTGGGGCGGAGAAGTTTCTCACCATCCGCAGTGGACCAATGAAACCAAGTTTATTTTATTGTATGAAAGAGACATGTGTAATGAGCACCTGGGTGTGATGAAACTAAATGCTTTGGGGGCTTGAAGCTCGTTAACTCGTCAGAAACATAAATGAGCTGCAGCATTGTATAAACCGCGGGTTCAAAGCGTGTGAAAAAAGTAGCGGCTTATAGTCTGGAAATTACGGTGATCAGTTTTGAGAAAAGATCATCTCAAACAGAAATGTTTAATAATCGTATTGGTATTGTGAGTTTTTCCACGATAAAGCTGTGATTCAGATCAATCTCAGCTGGCAACTGTGAGCTTTGGGCCTCGCAGTGTCAGGCGAGGTTCACCTGAACTCAGCACGTCGGCTCCTGTTCAGTGTGGAAGCACCTAAAGCTCAAAATACAGTTCTGCTGATCAGACTCTGTCGATTAGTTCATCACTTGCTTTCAACCACTTCCTGTTGTTGTTTTGGTTCGTGTCCATCTTCATTAGAGTTCTTCAGTTTTACAAAAAGTTTTTCTTGATGTTCTAAAACTAAAACGTGTCAAATATTTTCGTTGGATTAGAAGATTTGAGACGTCGGTCGGGACAGAAA